TTTTATTGTAGTAGATGGTTGTGGTGAAGGGTTTTTTTGTCTGTTGTTTTGGTGGGGGGGGGGGGGGGTGTGGGAGGGGGGGGGGGGGGGGGGGGGGGGGGGGGGGGGGGGGGGGCAATCCAAATTTAAAAATCAAGATGGCGACATTATTCAAATCCACGCCAAGACATGTACGTACGTACATACATACATTTACACTACGGTACGTACATACGAAGCTTAGATTTATTGACGTTATATGTATGATTTATGAAATTTCTTTTTATGTCCTTATTTTTAAGCGTGTAAATTGCAACATTTGCAAGAAAAAAAAAACATTGATCTTGTTTATATATTTCTATCGAAAAACTCGCGGTTATATCGGATATCGGCTCAATTATTTTTACCGAACAGAATCTTCTTATGCAAACTCTTTGATTATCACCATATTATAATTCAAAATTCTACAGTTGATTTCGCCCGAAGCCATCGCTTATTATCCAAATACGTCAATTTTTAGCTGCATATTTGACCAATAGGAATGTGGAACCGTTATTGATAACTTTATATTAAAAAAGCATAGCGATCATTTCCCTTGGCGTCACTCATATGTAATTTAATTTGTTGATTAATTATAAGGTTGTTATACCCAATAGAAATTATTTGAATACTGCCAAGAGAATATGAAGACATCAAACTTTCAAGTCAGTTAACCCGCTGGTTGAGCTACGTACCGAGTTGACACTTTATATGGGATGCGCGTTATTTTTAACCATTTATGCTATTTTTCTGAAGGTACGATTTTATAAATAACGTCTACGCCCGTTATTTCGTGACAATACGGTACAAGTCACTCTCGTTATAGTGAACTCTTGCTACAGTGAATCACTCGTTATAATGAAGACCAGTTTATATAAAAATCCTCTCGGTATAGTGAATTTATTAATAGATTCTCGATATAGTTAAGAAAACCTCAGCCCGAACATTTCCCTATAACGAGAGTGACTTGTATGTAGAATATATAAACCGGAAAAACAAAATAAGATTTCTTAATTAATTTAGTTTAAGTATTTCAATTGATATCTATATGTTAGATCAGCGTGAAATAGAATAAACTAAATAAGAAACCAATGATAGCTTAGAAATAAACATCTTAATTATAAATAATCATTAACTAAGTTGACACGAATAGAACAATATGAACTATAGTAAATATCAGGGAAATAATGGATCCGCGTTATTTCACCGACAATGGCAGCTCATTTAGCCGACATCGTGCCAAGTGACAAATTACTAGAAACATATACCTGCAACTAATCAAATGCTAATAATAACCCTACGTGATGTCGGCTAAATGAAATGACTGTCGGTGAAGCGAGCAGCACCGGAAATGATACTGTCAGAGAAATCATTGACGCGACAACAAGAATTATAATCTGATCTTTATTTAAATCCCTAAATTTCAAAATCCAAGTATACAAATTCGTTATATAATAATTTCACAAATCCGCCGAATTGAGAAAACGAACATATGGATGTGTTTACTAAAAATCAAGCTTGACGACAGTAATCCATGCTGTTAATGTTACTTGAATTACCAAAATGGACAAATTAATTGTCACGGCTGATGCTGAGATTTGGGGTCCCTATTTAAATCTACTGAACCTACTAAAATCCACATATACTCTTTTATTATTAATAAATCTAATCCTAAACTCTAATCTAACTATAAAAAAAAATGCACCCCAAAAAAATTTTGAAATTTCTTATTAAAATAGGTTCGATCTCAGACATTATTTAAATTTTAAAAATATTTTTATAAGCATATTTCATGAATACAAAAAACCTGAAAATCTTATATATAATACAGGGCAAATATGCCATCTCTCATCAGATATGAAGAGATATTTTCATCCAAATATCCTCTATTCCGCTTCGAATAATTCTTTGAAGTAGTTTGAGTTCTGAATTTTATATATCAATGGTGCACCAGGTGAAACAGGTGCACCGATGGTGAAACTAGAGTTATAGATGAAACTAATCTTCAACGGTGTACCGATGGTGCACCAGTTTCCTGGTGAAATTAATTAGCTTCACCTGCAACTCTACTTGTTAACTATAAGATTTATTTAAAATTTTTTGCAGGAAAATTTGCCTGCAGAAAATTTTCTAAAACTGTAATCGCATATATTTACCCCGTTAAACTGATATAATCAAATCAAGTCATGGATGTGCCGTTTGGAATTTTCGAATATCGGAATTATCAATTATCAATTTCACCCGACGGGCATAAATAACAAACCAGTATCAGCCTTTGATTTGACTAGTCGAGACTTCTCGCCAAATTAAAGTGAAGTAAACCAAGGCATTATTAAAGTAGGTAAAAAAAATTTTGCATTTTTATATAACCCGAGCTTCCGGAACTCGATCTGACGATTCGAATCAGATCAGCATTAATATAATAATAATATTAATACCGCTAACTATCGCTATATTATAGCAAATTTACAGTCCTACATAATTAGTAACGGTAATTTCGGCCAAAATTAATTTGGTCCGGAAGATCGGGTTACACAAAAATGCTAAATTTTTTTGCCTGGCCATTAATTATAAATTTATGTAGTGTTACATCCAAACTACCTCTTACAAGTTTCTGATGACAAACACCCGTGTATATGCTAAAAATAAATATATCGATATAGTTTAACATTATGCATAACAGAAGATTTACGTGATTTGTTTTTATATGAAAGAGGCAACAACTAAATGCATATTAAGATACAAATAGTTGTGATAATCTGAATTTACTCTTTTAATTACTACGGCTAATGACTATAATATCTATAACAATAAGCTATTATTAGAATTATTAGTTTTCTTGGCATTCTTTCTTGGTATTCGTGCTACATAACGGATGGTTAAACAGACATGGATGACCTTGAGATCTCGTGACTGAATTGTGTTATCGGGACTGACAATTTCTGGATCTAACAAACAATCTTGAGTACTTCAAAACTAAAATATCTATTTTAGTAAAATAAGCAATGTATTTTTGTTTTAAATAAGGCCATACAAACTTAATAAATTGGTTCTCATAACATAAAAATTTTAAAAGTGGCCCGGCAACCCGGCTTTTAAT